AATATGTAATTAGACTGGACACCTTCTAGACAACCTTCAGGACGAAGCCGTGGTGGCTGAGGCTGAGCCCCTGGCACGAATTTCATACATCGGACCTCTAATATTCTCATACTTGTGACACAAACTGCTGTGCCCATTTGTATTTTGGCAAATGTCTTTTCTAAGCTGTCAGGGGTGGCTCCATCTCAGCTGTTTTTCCACCACCACTCTCTCTAATCTTGTCTAGGTCTGAATCAAGGCACCTACCCAACACCTGTCTCCCATCCAAGGCATTCTTCATTGCCCTGCTGTGGTCACAGGGGAACTGGCGTTTTGAGGATTAACTGTCCTAGCCTTTGGTTATCTGTTAAAATGTTTTCTGTGAGAGCAGCTTCCACTTGGAGGCTTTGAAGAAGTGACTTATTGAAAACTAGAGGGTCAAGATATGAAATTCGTGCACGGGGGGTAGGGTCCCTCAGCCCGGCCTACACCCTCATCAATCCAGGACCCCTCTGTGGATGTCCAACTGCCGGTTTAGCCAGATCCCTGCAGCAGTCAGACATCCTTCTAGCAATGCAGGACTACTCTCTCCTAACTGCTCACCTGCCTGCTGGCCTGATCGCCCATCTACTCTTTCCTGCTGCCTCATCCCCCTAACTCCTCTCCCCTGCTGGCCTGATCCCTCTAATTGCTCTCTCCTGCCTGCCTAATCCCCCAAACTTCTCTCCCCTGCCGGCCTGAACCCACTAACTGCTCTCCCCTGCCTCCCTGATCCCCTAACTGCTCTCCCCCACCTGCCTGATAGCCACTAATTGCCTCTGCCTTGGCCCGCCACCATGGTTTTGTCCCAAAGAACATCCGAAAGGTCATCCAGAAGATGTTTGGTCTAATTAGCATATTACCCTTTTATTAGTATAGACTAGAGGCCCGGTGCACAAAATTCGTGCACTGGGGGGTGGGGTTCCCTCAGCCCAGCCTGCCCCTCTCACAGTCCAGGAGCCCTCAGTGGATGTCCTACTGATGGCCACAGTCTGGCAGCAGAGGCTCGGAGCAGGCA